TCCTGGAATCTTGGCTCAGTGCTGTTTTTGAAAAGCAATTATAAAAGTTTCTAACAAACAAAAAAGAACAAATCATAAATAGCACACATTTGGGAACCCATTGCTCAGCTTTGGAATTTTCATGAGAAACAGGTATTTACAGATAGGGTGAAAGCTCCCTTTGTACCCCTCCGGCTTACCACCCTTAACCCTCCCCTCCTATGAGAACACCAATACCCTGAATTTGATGTTTTACATCCTCATACACATTTTACTCTATATTTATATATCCATTAAAATATGGTACAGTTTTGCACATTTAACTGTATGACTACTGTTACTTTGGATGCATCTTTCTATAATTCATTCTTTTTTGCTCAATATCGTTTTTGTGATATATCCATGTTGACACATGGAATTTGTGTATCCTTTTTACTTATATTACTTTGCATTAATATATTGATTTATTTTTACTCTTTATGAACATTTTAAAGCTTTTTTGCTATTTAAAATTATAAACAGTAATGCAGTAAACATTCTTGTAACTTTTATCTCTGAATACTTTCTTAAACTCCATTCCAAAAAAAAAAGAATACTATTATGGACATATGCATAGAGACTCAGCTGTGCTGTCTAAATTTGCAGGAATGAGTAGCAAAAGCAAGACTTTTTGGCTATATTTACATTTGAGGAGACACAGTCTAAGCCTAAAACCAATTCACGTTCTGTGTACACCACAATTTTCAGTTGATACATCAGGATCTATCATGACATCTTGAAATCTCACCTATTAACAAACTGGCTATTATTAATTGTACTGCTTTCCTGAACCAGACTTGAATTTCTGTGGTCTGCAATTTTTATTGGGTTGGAAAAAAATAAAATGGCAGCAACCAAAGTATTAGGTTGACAGAGGTGTGCTCTGAATAAAGCAAGTTTTGTCACTATAGAAATAGAAATAGTGGCCTAAAAATGTAAAAATAAAAAACAAAAAACAAACGGAAAAAAAACATCAAAATTACTTTCTTGTAAGAAGCACACCATGGCAGAGGGAGTGAAATTTCCATGAGACATCATGCCTGTCGATTCTAACACACTCTCTTTATGAGGTGGGAATGGGGAAACGATGGCCAAGTGCTTGATTTACATTTAGGATCCCTATAGTCTGTTTAAAATGGCTTATTAAAACATTTCCATGTCTACAATGAAACAAAATTATTTTGGTAAATCATGCTCTGTTCTGGAGTCTCAGCATTCTGAAGAATTTGGCCTATTGTGTTAATACCAGAGCTGGTTTTAGTGGTACCAATGGTAAAAACATCAGCAGAGATTTTGGAGAAATTACGGGTACAACAGTTAAGAGACAAAGTTTTAGCCTTGACTCCTCCTCTCACTATGAACTTTGTGAAAAAGTCACTTCAGCCCCAGTCACTTTGGACATAGGGTTGCCCTAAATCAGGGCTTTCCAAATGGTTTATGTTAATCCTATGACATGTTAAATAAATGTGGTGTGTTGGAACTACAATTTTTCAAAAATTATGAAATAGAAAATTTCAGGTACAAGGCATGCACTAAAAGTAAATATTATTTCATAAAATTTTTGTTACAGAGGGGTGTGTGTGTGTATGACTGCTGTGAGATATTATGTAAATTAAGCTTTTTTTTGTAAATTAAGTATTATGTATACCTAAGGCATACAATTTGATGATGTGTTACACGTATCCATTATTAAATAATTACCATAGTCAAACTAATTACTATTTCATCACCTCAGATAGTTATCATTTTGTGTGTGTGTGTGTGTATGTGTGTGTGTGTGTGTGTGTGTGTGTGGTGAGAACATTTACAATCCACTCTGTTAGCAAATTTCAAATACATTATAAAATATTGCTGATTAAAATTGCATTGTTATGCATCAGCCCTCCAGAACATGTGTGATGTCTTCATCTTGAGTTAAAGGAAACTTCTTATTCTGTGTTGCTTTCAAAATGATTTGAGAGCCATTTGTACAAGCCTGACTTCAGAAAGAAACTCAGGGGCTTTCCAGAAGGGGTTAAGCCCTTGTTTAAAACTTACCAGTTGCCCGCATTTTCTGGGATGAAGCCCAGATTCCCCAGCATAGCAGAACATGATTCTCCTTCATAAACCTTGCCCCAGGACTATCCACTCTAAGGACATTGTGAACCACACACTCTCTGTTTCTGCAGTACTGGCTCATGCCTTGTGCCTTTGCTATTTGCCCCTCAGCCTCAAATGCTCTTGGTAGACACAAAGCATTATCTTTGCTAGATGCCCTCCCATACGCACCAATTCTTATAGAATTGTCCAGTGCTTCCCTTGCTTCACAAATCTTTACTGAGTGATGTCACAGTCTGCAGTATACTTTCCTATATTTAATAAGAGTTTAAATATCCATCCCACCCTACTAGACTGTGGACATTTTGAATTCAGGTCTTTATATCATAAGAATTTAGGTTCTTCAGGATATAATGAACTGTTCTACCATGAATCTAAAAAAAAAAAAAGAATTTAATTTCTTTCCTTTTCTCATGCACATTCTCTGTTTCCCATTGCTCTTAAAATCATATTATTTAAAAACAATATATGTTCATGTCAAATGATATGAAAAGGCAGTTGAAACATTACACTAAGTTGCTCACCTAAAGATGGCCACTGTTAATATCTAAACTAATGTTTCACTCTGCCTGTATACATATGCCAAGAGAAGCCAACATACACACAGGCATTCATGTGCACGTGCACACACACACACACACACACACACACATTGTTACACAAATACATTCTTTCATTAATCTGACCAATTCTTCTTTTCAGCAATATCAAGGACACTTTCTATGTCACTGATGTACCTGCACATAATTTTAATGGCTGCTTATAATTCTAATTTATGGCTTCCCCTGGGTTTGTTTTGGTTGCCATTTATCAACATTAAAAGCAGGGATGGTGGACTTGACTTCTTATTTCTTGCATGCCATGATTATAAATTAAAAGACAGCATTATTGTCCTTACCTTCTTTGATTAGCCACCAAATCCTGGTCTGATTTTATAACTCCCTTCAAGGCATTCCATATATGGCCTCCTTCCCTTTCTCTTCAGGCTATCTTTGGGCTGTGTCCTGTGAAAATTCCTGTATATCAGAGAAGCTTCTACCTCGCAATGCAATGTCTTCAGTCAAACTTTCTCATTTTTATGAGAATTATCTGTAGTTAAATAGTAAAGATTTGACTTTTGACAACTTTCCCTTTTAGAAACAAATTCAGTGGAATCATGCATATATTTTATATGATGATTTTTAATCTCACTTCCCTCAACCTATCTGGATTGTACCCAACCTTCCTCTATTCTGTAATCATAAAATCCAAGATGAGATATGATTCTTTTCAATGGAAATTCCTACCTTACCAACCACTTCCGCTCTTAATCACTAGTATAGTTCACTGGGATACTTCCTCTCTTCCCTGGAGCTAAAGTCACAAACTAGAACTATTCAGAAATATTGTTTTGCTAGACTGCAACATCTGGTACAAATTTGACAAAGTACAAAGCCTCATTACTACTAAAATTCATGTGTGTCAGTCTTTGTGAACTTGAAAGGACTATGTCATCTATTTCTTCAGTGAAACTTGGTAATGTAGGTGTAGTCCATTGTATTTTCTCCTGTTTTTAGTCTTAGTTAAAGCTCTCAGGAGTTTCTCTCTCAGTTTATGGATTCAACAGTAGAGTGTGTTTTCATACTATACAGTACTTACCCAACCATTCATTTAGACAGTCTTCTTGTTTCTGTCACTGTAATCTTGAACCCCATCTCACCAAGTCTTGGGGACGTTTGTGTCATAATGTACATTGTCTCTGTTTTTAGTATAAAGTGTATGCCATTTATTACCCATGCTTTAGTTGTTAGTATGTAGAAATCTGAGCCACCAGTGTAATTTCCTGCTTTCTACTCAATTATCTCATACTGTGAACTATACCTCATGTTTTTCCTCTTTCCGTCATATCTGTGCTGCTTTCTGGCCGTGGTTCTCAAGCAGGATATATTTTTCTGTCAGGAAACATTGGCAGTGTCTGAAGGCCGTTTTTACTGTTACCTTGGGAAAGCTACTACTGACGCGTGAATGGTAGAGGCCAGGGATGCTGCGAAAAATCCTGTAATGCACAGTATGGTCTTCCTCCCAGCAAAATATTACCTGATTCAAGAAGTTAATAGTGCCGAGTTCAAGGAAACTTGCTGTATAGCAACTGACTTCATGTATTTTATTTGAACTTTCAGATTTCTCCCACCCCTGAGATGTTCAATTTAATATATTCTCTTGACTCAGACTAGCTACTCAATGGCAAAAAAAGAAGGAAAGTTATATCTCATGACATTTATGTCTCATGCTTTCATTAAAGTGAGACAGAAGTTGTCATCTTTGTCCAAAGTGCTGGTAAAATAGTACTGTAGGACCACTTGATATTACCATAGTTATACAGAATAGAGAATAGAGAATTAAGCGTATTTATAAGTAAAGAATAAAACCAGATAAATTAATAAGTATGGTTATCCTCAGATACTCTCTGCTTCAAATGATATTTGTTGTTATAAAATTGTGTTTGAGGCTGGGTGCAGTGGCTCACGCCGGTAATCCTAGCACTTCAGGTGGCCAAGACAGCCAGTTTGTTTGAGCTCAGGAGTTTGAGACCAGCCTAGGTGACATGGCCAAACTCTGTCTCTACAAAAAATACAAAAAGTAGCTGGGTATGGTTATATGTTCCTGTAATCCCAGCTACTTTGGGCACTGAGGTGGGAGGATCATTTGAGCCTGGGAGATTGAGGCTTGGCTGCAGGGAGCAGAGATTTGGTCCCACTGGCACTCCAGCCTGGGTAGGCAGAGCAAGACCCTGTCTAAAAGAAAAGTTGTGGTTGCAAATAAATGTATTGAAAAAACCTCCATAGGCAGCTTAATGTGAACACTGTCTCATTTTATTTGTCTCCTTTGTTTTTTTCCTCCTTCAGATATTTCACATTTTCAGGAACAAAATGATTTAAAAGCATTACTAGAAAATCTCCATCAAAATATCCAATCCAAAAAAAGAAAGAATGTAGAAATTATGTGGCTGGCTGCAACGGTAAGCACTCTCATGTCAAATCTTATTTCCTGCCACGTCATAACCAGCAAATATTATCAGTTCTCTATTGTGCAGAGTCCAACCTCTGCACTTGGGGTTACCAGCTGTCATCTTCTATTATCCGTGGATTAGGCATTTTTACTCTTGTTGGTAGTTCTATCCATAGACTAGAACATAAGATGAAAGAAGATGCACTCAAGAAAGAATCTTGCTCACTTGCTATTCTTACCAACCTTGGATGTGTTCTCCACTCTGAGGGAGCGTCTGTGAATTTCTTGATGTTGCATGTTGCAACGTCAATTGCCCATATCACCCAGGATTTTGAAGTGCTGCTTTAGAGACATATGGTTTCAACAGAATGTGGTTATCAGATCTCTGATGCACAGCTTCAATAAGGCTCCTGGACATATTGTTCAGTTAACAAGCTTATAAATGTGTTTGTTAATTTAGATTGGCATAGAATTCATTACTGATGGATTGCTCTAGGGGTAATGAGCTATATTTTGTGTAGCTCTTTCTCATTTAATGGTGCCTTTGGGGTAAAAGATCTGCCTGTGTTCTCACCACAGGTTTCTACAAGAATTAGAAAAAAATGCCTGTATGTTTAAGGCTCTTAACTGGTAACCATTGAGGCATAGCTCACATGAAATTTATGAATTGTGTTAAACATTCAGACCCCAACATCCTTTCATTAGGAATGCATTCTTCCATCAGGAAAGGTACATGTTAAAGATCTTTATGATAAATGCCATGTTTGCAGTTCTGCAGTATTATTCCTATAATTTGGAGCTCAGGTTAACCACGCTTCTAGCATACTCTATTCATTCTCTAGTCATAGCATTTAAAACAGAAAGTTTTCCCCTACTGCCAGTGCTTCAATTATAATTCAGTATTATTACTTTCTTCTGGGAAAAAGGAATGGATAATTTACCATGAGCCCATATGAAATAATTTACCAAAAGAAAGGCAGAGGAAAACTTCTTTAGTTTCCCTTCCTGCTTTCTTGGAGCCCCAGGGAAGAACAATATGAAATGTTGCTTTCAGGCAGCTCATTTACACTGGTTCCATTTAGCGCCATACTGTATTACATGAAGGTTGTTTTTAATAGTGTGGCTGCTCTTTGTGTCTTCAAAGACCACTCTGGTTGTTAATTCTAACAAAAATTTCACAATGGCAGGTCATAAATTGTGTTTTCTATTTTACTGAAAACACGACGGCATGAAGATAGTTTGATACTTGTGCCATCTGACGATTTACAAACATAAATGTGTCATTATGTACATATTGTGAAGTTATGTAAATAGATAAATTAAGGATACACACATATAAACACAAATGTGTATTTTCTTTTAATATATGCAATTTCCCATTTTAATGTATGAAAAAGTTTTCCTATAAATCCCACACATTTCTAAAAAATTTTTTGAAATGTATATACTGACCAAATATGATTTACTCACAATTCACCACTGAATAAATGATTAGTAGCATTTCTGTTGGCTAATGCCTCAGTTTCAATGTTCTATTTGTAAATCATGGACCTTAATGAAACTTTTAAAATAAAGAAATATAGAAATTCCTTTTGGTATTTTCCAGAAATATTTTGTCAATATTTTTTTTATTTTATTTTCCTTTTAAAAATCTATTTAATGAAATACTGCTTTAGTTAATGTTTTACATTCTAATTGAAAAATATAAAGTGGCCGGGCGTTGTGGCTCATGCCTGTAATCCCAGCACTTTGGGAGACCGAGGCAGGCGAATCATGAGGTCAGGAGATCAAGACCATCCTGACCAACATAGTGAAACTCCGTCTCTACTAAAATACAAAAATTAGGCGTGGTGGCGCATGCCCGTAATCCCAGCTATGCAGGAGGCTGAAGCAGGAGAATCGCTTGAACCAGGGAGTCGGAGGTTGCAGTGAGCCGAGATCACGCCACAGCACTCCAGTCTGGTGACAGAGCGAGACTCTGTCTCAAAAATAAATAAATAAATAAATAAATAAATAAATAAATAAATAAAAATAAAGTTATTTGGTTTTATATTCTTTAAGTTTAAATAGTAAAAGTGAACATTTAAAGAGGACAAATGACAATCAAGTGTGTTAAATCAATAGTTCGGGTATTGTAGAAATACAGAAATCAACTGCCCTTACCTCCAATAGACTTTAAATTTAGGACGTTAAATATTCTAAGCAGGACAAGTACATATGATAGTAACAAAAAATTTTAAGGAATATTAATTCCATTTAAAAATCATATCTCATAAATAGCCATTATGGTCTATTTTATTATTATTAATATAGTTAAGAATTTTTAAAAATGAAATACTGTTTATTTGAAAGGATTAGAATTTTCTAGATGTAAAAAGATTGTATGGAGAAATCATGCTCTCACATTTTCTAGTCACTTATATTGGAAATAGAAGTACCAAAGGTCTAAATTAATAGTGATGTATAAATTCAAGTTTAAGTATCAGAATCACAATTAAAACGTGATAATAAGTTCTAGATTAGCTGTATTATTTTACCTTCTTTTAAAAGCAGACAACTTTTAAAGACTGCTTGATGACAGATAATAAAGAAGACCTTTGTTATATCACATTAGATCTATTTTAAATGCACACTGATTAGCATTGTAATGCCAAAGTTAATTATTAGTATTTCATATTAGAACCCTACCATGATATGGAAGAGAAACAAATGGAATGATTTCCCTATTAACCATAAGGCAATGAGACAAGAGAGTATTGATGCTCAGTGATTTTTCTCTGACTTAAATCAGAATAACAAAAAGAAAGAACTGTAGAGGAAAACAGAACATAACAGAAGTTAAAAGACTTGATTATTGAACTTAGGTAGAGTTCTGTTTGAATCCTGGTTCTGCTCTGTTATGTGCAAGTTACTTAACCCATCTAAACCTCAGTTTCCTCATCTATAAAAAGAAAATAATTATACCTTCCTCTAGAGTTCCTGTGAAGTTTATTTATTTACTTATTTTTATTTTTAATTTGGGAGGTGTTTTTTGAGACAGGGTCTCATTCTGTTGCCCAGGCTGCAATGCAGTGGCATGATCATAGGCTCAAGTAATCCTCCCACCTCAGACTCCCAAGTAGCTGGGACTACAAGCATGCATCACCATGCCCAGCTAATTTTATTATTATTTTTTTTGATAGAGAGGAGTCTTTGTTAGGTTGCCCAGGCTTATCTCAAACTGCTGAGCTCAAATGATCCTCCTGCCTTGGCCTCCCAAAGTGTTAGGATTACAGGCATAAGCCGCTGTGCCCAGCCCCTGTGAAGTTTATTAAAAAGTGCAACTGTATATGAAATTTCTTAGTGTTGTACCCTAGAGCACAATTTGCAATAAACAGTGGCCATTTCTAGTATTCTACTTTTTAGTACTGATGAGTAGTTCCCTTGTCTGTTGTGAGGCACCATGAGAATGTTTAAAATCTCATAACATAAAACCAAGACTAGCAAATGTTTCTTAAATGTAAAATAAGAGAATATTAACTATATATGATTGGAATCAACTGTTTAATCCAGGGAATATAGATTTTGTTTGTTTGTTTGTTTGTTTGTTTGGTTTGTTTGTGTTTTCCTCTTTACAATGAAGGTGTTGTTTCTGAGCAGGAATTAGTTTAGCATTGTCATACACTGCAGACCAGGCACCCCGTTGGGTAGCGTGCTGCATCCTCTGCTGGGTATTTCACATCTTATATGGCTTCAATGGTTCCACGCTTCATGTACAAATAATTAAATAAATTAGGTCCATTGCATTGGCTTTTGAAATGAAAAGGTAATGCCTTTACATCTGATAAGACTGATTGAACCAATTGACTACCATAAATTAACAGAAACCCAAATTTATATTTGATGTGTTTAGACTAGAAGTGTTTGGAGGAGGCCAACACTTTACCGTATTACAAATGTACAGTAAACATTCGTTTTACGTATGTTACAGATTTGCCGCAAACTAAATGGTATTCGTTTCACCTGTTGTAAAAGCGCCAAAGACAGGACATCGATGTCAGTGACACTTGAACAATGCTCAATCTTGAGAGATGAGCACCAGTTACACAAGGACTTCTTTATCCGAGCACTGGATTGCATGAGAAGGTATCTCACATGTTTTTCAAGTTTTTTTTTTTTTTTGGTCTAAGGTCATTTTGGGTTGGTTTTTTTTTTTCCAAAATACATATTTTATTGAAGGACTAAATATTTCAGTACTTTACTGTATTTTCATGGCTTATAGCTTATGACATGAGAGAGAGATAATTTTCTCTACCTCTATAATATTTTTATCTCTATCTGTATTCCCCTACTCATTTTAGGCTACTTTTCTAAACTTTTCGTTTTCAGAAAATGTGACTGTGTACACATTTGATGACATGCATGATTATATATGATATTATATATTTTGTTAGCTGATTGGCTGAAGTTAAGGGGCCCCGAAAATGTCATATATAACACTGTAAGACAAATTTTCATGATGCATAGGTATTTATGAGAACTTGCAAAATGAAACTAACTCATTATCCAAACAAAATCTTTCCAAATTACAACTAATAGGTGATATTCCCATGGCCCACGGAGTCTCTGGGACAGTAACCTCCTTTCTAAAGTTATTTTCACATCACTCATCATAAAGATGGGATGACACTGATACTTTAAAATAGATCATTAATATGGTTACTCTGCCGACATTTAAAATGCTGTGCCCGAAGTCACGTTTCTTGATTCATTTCCACAGTAATTAAATCTAAACTCTAAGCCATAATGGGAAGGAAAAAGTGCTTCATTCACAGTGTCTATCAGCAAGGACACATGTTAATTAAAAAGTTAAATGAAATTGTCTCTTTGCTGCAAAGCCTAGCTCAGAAGCACACTAGGAAGTGTGGGACAGGCTCTGGGTTCCCAGAAAGGAATATCATGTGATTCACTGGAGAGGGCTGCTTCTTATCTAGTCTGCCATTAGCTACCAGTTTTCTTTTAACTGCTGCAGTCTTTCATTGGCGACATTGACGTTTGCTTGTGCTCGTTCTATGCCTCTATATTTTCTCACTAACGAGAGGTTTCTGAAGTCCTGTATTTCATCCCATTTCATGTCTCTTGGCATTTTCATTGTTCAGTGGAGCTCTATCATAATTTTTTGATAAATGTGTGAGGATGTCTTAAGAGTCCTGACGTGAACATCTCAGCCATATAAAACATGTTTGGTTGATATAAAAACTTCTTTCGAAAAATAATATCTCAGCACTAACAGGTAAAATAACAAATTCATGTATGAAACCTTCAAATCTGCAGAAAAATAAGACAAACGTCACTGTAGATGGAACAAAGGTGCTTGGTGAGAAACGCAGGAATGCATGATATTATAGGCCAGGTACACCATGGGACTAAACTGATTTAGGTAACAAATCTTCTGGAAGATGAAATTGCTGTCTGTTTATTTAAGATAGAAGAGGGAACCCTTAAATTAGAAATAAAATAATTCAAACAGGTAAATAAAGGCTATATGTATACTAGACATGTTTTACTATAGAACAACATATTTTGGTATTGCCTATGATTGACATTATATACGCAATACATTTGCCCATGATATAGCATTTGTGATGATTCATTTTTGTGTTTTTAAGGTAAGGCACTAGAAATTTAATCTAAAACACTAAAGGCTTAACTTGAAATCCCTAGTATTCTGGTGATCATCTTCTTTTGGTTTTGTGTGTATATGAGGACAGTGCCAGAGTGTGAGTGTGACCTGTATTTGTGTATATATGTATGCACGTATGTAAAAGAAAATAAGATGTGTTCTTTTCTTTAATAACTGCCTTCATTTCCCTCTGGGTATTTTGCCTCACAACACAGGATCATAGGTTTACAAGCTCTGGCAACACAGCAGAGTAGGTAAGAGCATGAGGCTTGGGAGCCAGCTAATTTGAATCCAGGCTATATGCCATTACCCATAGGCAAGTTAGTCTCTCACGGCCTCTTAGTGCCTTAGGCAAGTTACTCAACCTCTTGCTACCTCTCAGTTTCCTCATCTTTTAAAACAGACATGATAATAGTAGCTCCATTTTAGGAGCATCTCGAGGATTAAATGAATTGATACATGTACAGGAATTAACAATGTTTGGCACATGGTAATCACTAAATAATGTTGGTTAAAAAAATAAAAAAACAAGGGCTGTGATGTTAATACTCTGATTTTCCATGTGCAGTATAATCTAGTTAATTATGATCCTTGTAGTTTTATGTTTGTGAATATTTTATGACATAAAGTTGGACTACAATAGCATATGTTGAAATAAAGTGTCCTGGCAGCTCTTGTAAATAAGGTTTCAAATGCAATATCTTCCCTATTTAAGAAAATCAGCTCTGTAAATAGCACTTTAAAAATGTGCAAGTGTTTGCAAATGCTGTGTTAATTATGGAAGCATCACAATCCCTGAATAGGTTTTTTATAAACATTTTTGATGCTAATGTGTATTATATATCTAGAAATAATCATAAAATTTAAGATAAGTCACCTTAGAAATTTCTTATCAATATTTTTATACATATAACTCTTACAGATTTCCTACCCCACAAGCAACAGTGGTTCATGAATAAACATTTCTCAAGTTACTGCTTAATGCTGATTGATTACCGGGGTCCCAAAACTCTGGGTTCTGACAATATTTTACAGTTAAGTTTTTAGAGAGGAAGCAGATTTGCTTAGCTGCTCACTCTGCCATCTATCAAATCCCACCCTTCAGACAGTGGTTTTTAAATGAACTGTAACTTTTACAAAATACATATGTTTGATTGGTGTGTTAAAAGGTGGAAGGATGGGAAGGGAGTGAGGGATGAGAAACTACCTGTTGGGTACAATGTACACTATTCAGGTGGTGTTTACACTGAAAGCCCAGACTTCAGCACTATGCAGTATGTCCATGTAACAAAGATGCATCTGTACCCCCTAAATCTATTTTTTAAAGTATATCAAGATATAGTTTAAGTTATCATCATCTTGGGTTCAATTTTATAATAAAACAACATGTCCTATACTGAAACAAAATACATGTGTTTAGACCCCCACATGGATTATAATTGAGAAGATCTGAGATGGGTCCCAGAATTTAATTTTTTAAGAACTTTACAGACATTCTGGGGAACAATTCTGGATTTTTAAAAATCAGTGTTTTAAGGGGCTTTGATTTGTATGTTTTTGAATTTACTGCAACTTTTAATTTTTTTTAATATCAGTTGCAGTTTATTTTACCTTTGAATTATTCCAATCACCTTCCAGGCTATTTTATCTGGATTTCTTAAAAATTCACCAAGGTTTCTTCATCATAAAAATTCAAGGGAAAAATAAAGTTCACCAAGGTTATCATATCACTCTTTATTTAGTTTTATTTTTCCCATATCTATATTAATTATTTTCTGTTGTATATGCTTATCTCTGTAGCAGTTTCAAATTATTTATGATGAGTAAAGGTATATAAAGGAAAGTAAATAAAGCTCCATCTGGTTCTTATTCAGAAATCCCCACAGGAGAAGCAGCTCTCTGAAGGTAGAGATTTTTGTTTCTTTTTGTTCACTACTATATTTCCAGTACCGAAAACAGTACCCAGTGAACACAGTATCATTTTTTTTCTCAATAAATATACAATAAAGGAATACATGAATGACATGAGTTTCTAAAACTTTCGGGTCCTATGTATTAGGTGGTATTGTGCATACATAGGCATTTTAAATTAAGCATATGAAGTTGTCACTTGATTGTCACATATTGATAAGCACAAGTTGCAGAATATGAAAGAAAAGTCTTATTATCCTAATTCAAAAACAAATAGGCAATAAAGAAACCATTTCAGCTCACCACCTGAATCCACCCTTTGTACAATTGTCAAAAAATTCAGACTTCCTTTTTTCTACATATCCAGTATTACTTTCAGCTGCACACTCCTGATGGACTTTTGAGTACCATCTGTTTGGTGAAATGGCATAAATACCTCTTCAGAATAGAAGATTAACACAAGGTGTCTGGGTGATCTGACTCTGTAAGGCTCTCTTAGTGATTGACTATACCGTTAAGACCAAAACAGTGATTCTTAACCCTCATTGACCATCATAAATCTAGAAAACTATTTTAACAAAAAATAATTGTATAGGGAAATTTAATGCCTCTATAAAGTAAATTAAAACAAAAATACCGTTGTACTGTTTTTTTCCTTAACAAGAACTCTAGGATGATGGCTATACAAAGTAATAATGTGACACCATAGTTCTCAATTGTCTTTTGTTTTATACTACATTACTTTCTCAATCTGTCATGGCTCCTTAAAATTAGGATAGTTAATATGCTGTTAGTAGGAAGACTCAGGGTAAGTTTCAGCATATACTTATGTATCACCCTTGCAATACAGGGCTTTAGTCATTCTATTTCAGTAAATATTTAATTTATAAGAGACTTAAAAGGCCCATTGGCCTTATTGAGTTTCATTTATTAAATGTCATATTCTCAACTGTTGCACCTGTAATTTATCTGTTGGGGGAGCATAATTTATGAAGTATTCTGCTTTATAAGTAAATGACTCTTAACCAATTGATGTCTGTAAAAGATGTGTTTGTATGACTTCTTCCCTTGTAGAGTTCACTTTTAAGTAATGTAGTTCAATTGTTGAAATAGAAAAGTTTTTTCCTTCTGTCTTTAGTCTTGTTTCCACTTGAGCTTATTTTTTTCTTTGTTTTTGATTGTACTCGTTGGAGAAGAGCTGCTATTATTTCATATTATATCCTATTTCAAATATTAAAGAGAATTATAAGCATTGTAAACATAGGTAATTGAAGTTTGCAGCTATTTTTTGACTACTTGAAAGAGATGCGTTTGTAGGGAACATCGTAATTGGGAACAGTTTTTCTGCGATTGCTAAGTATTGTCTCCTCCCTTGAGAGTTTCAGTGGTGTGTTTGCTACATTACTTCAGTCAATATTTGCAGCAAATAACAGGAGTAAGCTGAGAAGGTCACCTTCAACTCAGGGTTATTAATAAAAACATGAAAATTGACCTTATTTGGGATGTTTTTACTTCAGTTGAAGGTGAGTTAAAAGATACTGCAAAGAAGGTG